GAGGGCTTATTAAACCTACTGATGAATGGCTAGCAAAAATTATAGAATGGAATAAATATTTCGAAATATATCACGATGAATCGTATAAAAAAGGCCCCGGAGTTGTACAGAATTAGTCAGTGGAAACAGTTTTACCTTTTACTTTAATAAAAGATTTTTGTAAATTAAGAACTATAATAAGAATTAATTATAGAAATCTTAAACAAGAAAACTATAAAATATTGAAAAGAATGCCTTCTGAAAATGGTGATTGTCGAAAAAAAATTAAAAAGTTAAGTAAGATAATCACATAATAAAAAATATAGCTCATTAATTTGTTAAATAAATATTAGACAAAAGACTTGTAAATTTATTGACGTACAGTACACTTATTAAATCCGAAAATTCTACAGTAGTTTACATTTAGTAGTAATTTAATAATTAATTAAGAAATGATTTAATATTTTATCGTATTTTGTTATTTGAAAGATCTGTCATGTTGAAGTAGAGGGCTTGCTGTGACGTCACAAAGATCCAAGTTCACGCTAACAAATATACGGGATCTGGCTATCCTTGTAGTTTAAAGTCCTTGCACTGGCTCCCTTTCATGGTCGATCTAGTGTTGCCAGCTAAAACACGTAAAAATAATCTTAAAGTATCCAAGACATAGCCAAATATTGTAGCGCCACATCACTAGCGGACATTTGAAATTTGCCAACTAGGACGGTCGGTTAACCGAGGTGTCGGTTAATCGGGGGTCGGATAATCGAGGCTCTACTGTACATCTCTATCCATTAAATTCATCAAATAATATTTTCTCTCATTACCTTTTATTGTATGACAGCAAGTCCCGTTTTCTGTCTTTTAGTTCTAGTGAGGTATGCGATTGAAATCTGGTGACACAAGTTTTACTTAACAAATTTACTCAAGTATTTTATTAAGTGTATGAAATATGGTTAATATTTAAAGCTGATGAAATATACAGCAAAATTACTGCCAAATTACATTTTTGTTATATGTAAGTATTCGAAATGGATAGATTAATCAGCTTGGTATTTTTTCAGGAAAAAAATAGCATAAAAAAATAAGCTAAAGTTATTTCAGTTTCGATGATAAGTGACAAATAATGCTTTAAATAAATTATATTTGATCGTGTAAATGACAGTGAAGCTATATAGCCTCATGGGACCCCAGGAAAATTTGAATTAGGGGGTCACACGTGCAGTGTTAACTTCAAACACATTGTTTTAGAAAATTTTTGGGCATTTTCCCGGTATCATTGTTCGTTTTTTAATGCGACTTCCAATGCAATAACCAGGGAAGGGAGGGGAGGAGCTATTGACCTGGGCTCCTAAGATGCAGGACCTTGCAAATAGTGTTTATTTGAAATATTTTGATTTAAGTCTGTTCTAATTAAGACTGGTATTTTATTAGATAATTTTAAATTATAATTAGGGATATTGTTTGGACGTGGTTATTACTTCTTCTCTTATAGCATTACCACATAAATTATACCATATATATGAAAACGGCATAACGATCCCCAACTTGTAAGAAGTGAAACGGGTTCCGAAAAGGCTCCTTATGTTCTCGTCAGTAACCGTTGTTCAGAGGTTTGACTGTGTATCGTCTATTAAATTAAACAGAGAAACTTTCGGTATCCATGAATCACTAATTACACGATTTTTCGTTCCAAATTACGTTGTCAGAGTCAAATCGTACACTCAAACTCACGCGAAAACCTCACGACCACGTACAATTGTTATTGTTTGCGGTATTTGATTTGTGCACCTCACTCTGTTTTCTCGTTGATTTCAAACACAAACTGACGTGATGCAAAATCGAGGTTTGACAGATATTCGAATTTACTTTAGCATTTATCCAAGCGCTAAAGACATCTTTCCGGTATTGCACGAGTATGTTGCATTGCTCGTGCAATCGTAAAAGTATTAATCGTATCGCAGTAGGGTTCGTGAATATAAGGCATTGTCTCAGTGCTGTACAAATTAGCAGAGTGAGCACATCGGTACATAAATTGATAAGATCGCATTTTTTAATTTGCATCTTGTTCTGCTAATTGGAAACTTTTATTTTATACGATTTACACTTGCTCTTTCGTTTAATGAATTAGTTTAATTTACTTTGAAATCGATTTATATAACTAAACTAGCCGGTGACATTAACTCTGCGTCGTAAAATTACAAACATATTCTGTTAACATTACAAATTTGAAACAAGTATAATTCTTTGCTATAAATTACAGGTCTAATTATAAATGGTTGGTTTGAATAAATACGACATTTATATTAATTTCGTTGTTTGGCGAATTAAATTTGGTTAATAATGCCGCTAGGGGAAGTTCTGTTTTTGTTATTTACGCGTTACCATAGCAACATTTGAAAATTTGAATTTGAAATAGATTTTTTCATCAAAATCGGAAAATGGTAAACGGTATTTTGTATCTTACACGCCAGTCCTTATTCTATTGTTTATTTATGTATTGTTCGACTTAGATCTGTATAAATTTTGTTTTATACTCGTTTGTTTATTTGATTCAAATTTTATTTATATTCTGAAATATAGAGCTGCTTAAAAAGACATTCTCCTCAGAGGTTTAAAGGAACTCACTGTGATGTCATTAATTTGTTCGAAAATGGAGTTTTTAGGAAATTAATGTAAGTTTTAAACCAATTCATTTATTTATTTTACACTATATTCACTATATTTTTCCATATTACATTTCATACAATTTGTTTTATACGGATCAGGATTTTTATCTCTGTTGTGCATCATTGATGCCCTTCTTGCAATGTAAACTATTCTTATACGAGCAAAATGCTTAATGGGATGGATCCAGGAGCAACTTTCATCAGTTACACTTCTATAAACTTGTTTCCAGCAGTAGTGAATAATTTTAAAATCAAAACAACTGGAAATTATCCCGAAACAGTGTTTAAAATTGCATCACAAAGACTAAAAATATTTGTGATTTGACATAAATTGTCAGCAAAGACTTATATCCTGATAGTATGCAGGATTGATATCTTATGATCTATTATAACAAAATTAAATTGATTAGTGATTATGTTTAATGTACAGATTATAAGGTTCTTTCTAGTAAATAGTTGAGAGGAATCTTTAAAAAATTAGAATCTGATTTTTGATGTATCGGGAGGTATGTAAAGAATATTTTAGAGTAGAAAGGCTCTTAATGGCTCACCTGCCATTAGACACATGGTATAGAGATGGACTATGAGGTAATGGAGAGTCACTATCACTCAACAGAGATAAAATCTTACAGTTTACACACACACACACACACACACACAGATTTCTATGCCATTATTGTCTGTTTTGAAAGAAATAAAGCTTTACATTCATCTGAGGTCTAATGATGATAAATTTTTTGTTAGTTTATTGTCAGAAAAAATATTTGCATTTTAATTTGGTTTCAGCTCCAAATAATAACTGGATATTTATATTTTTAGTATTCCTCGACCTGAACCAACTATTAAAACTACTATACTGACTGCTAGTGAATTAAAAAACATACAGCAAAATGCTTTTTATATATCTCCAGAGCTGAGAAAAATCAAAGAAGATGAAAGGAAAAAATTCAGAGATGCATTAGAGGTTCTCTTATATTATTATTTAAAAATTATTTTTTGAAATTAAAGATTTTTAGTAATCAAATACTTTGTAATATTTATTAAACAAATCTTGTTTTGGAGAAAATATGATTTCATACATTAAACATTATTTATAAATAATGTTTAATGAAACATGTTGTTCGTCATTAACTTATATATGAAATCTTAAGCAAAAGCCTAAAACCTTTATGCCTTTAGGGGACTTGGAGACAATAGTATGCTTATTGATTTTTGATCTTGATTCAATATTAGCTAAAATCCTAGAAGTTGTAAACATAAAGTATCATGCGATATGAGTTTTGCATTATATGAACTTACAGTAAATTGGCCTTGCACATCCACATTTCCATAAAGTTACAATCTGAAATTGCCATACTTAACAATATTCTATTTCAAAATTTTTATAATTTAGGCTATAAATAATTAGATTTGATTTCCTTATAAATTTATTGTATGAATCATTATTTAACTTTGTGGTGAATTTGTCTCTTTAATCCGATTTTCAGTTCGGTAGACTATCATATACAGCTTTCAGGTTATGAGCATAACCTGAAAGCTGTATATGATAGTCTACCGAACTGAAAATCGGATTAAAGAGACAAATTCACAACGAAAATAGCAGCAGCCATAAGTGATTTTCTGAAAACATTATTTAACTTACTACTGATATAAAAAAAAATTTTGCATGAGAGTAGCAAAAGTAAAGAATAGCAAAAACAATAAATTTAAAAATAAAAATCAAAGTTAATTTTAGAAAAAGTAAAAATATATAGAAAGAAGGATGAACTGCATTTGAATTTACAACTTTACTTTCTGCAGTAGATGTTACTATTCCTCTCATTGAAAAACAACTAAATTTAATAATTAGAAAAAATTTTAATCCTGCAAAAAATGAAAAACTATCAATCTCAATCTCTATCAATCTCAGTCTTTTGTTCAACATTTAGAATATACTATGAGTCAGGAGTTTGAGTAATGTGAAGTATTGTGTGATAAAGGTTTTTACACTATATAAAAGGGGTTTAGTAACCTTGTTTTTTAGTATCTTACTGCTGATCTCTTAGACAATAATATGTTTAATTTGTGATAGTGTTTTGACTGTTTTTATTTATCTAATTAAAATTATAGCATTAAAGTATACTAATATGTGTTTTTGGTTATACAAAAGTTACTTGAAAAATAATAGAAAGTTGCTTAATAGAAAGTTGTTTTTATTTATTTTAACTTTATATTTAGAAAGCTGTAGAAAATCGCAAGTGTTGTATGAAATATTATGATGACATAAGAGAAAAGAACCATAACTCAAATGACACAGAAGAAGCTAAAAATTTATCAGATGTTCTGAATAAAAGAGCCGAAAAAACAAAAATTGAAGGTGAAGAGGAAGTAAAACATCTAAATCAGGTAAAGAAATTAGACAGCAGTTTGTAGTATTGTACTTAAGTTTATGATAAACATATTTAACTTTCATGCACGTACAGTTGATTCGAAATGTGAAATGTCAAGCAATTCGAGACAAACAAGTATATGAAAAAGCACAAATAGAAAGAGAGATAAAGAATGTAAACCAATCTTTAGATGAAATGATGGAAAGAGAAAGAACACTAGCTATTCAAAAACAAGAAGAAAAAGATAGAAAGAATAAGGAAGAGAGTCAAAGGTGAGTCAGTATTTTAATTCATTAAAGTCCCAAGAAATGTCAGTATGTGTGATAGTATACTTCATTCATGACATATAGAAAATAAATAAGTAGTAAAAAATAACTAGCATCACATTACTTTAAGTTGTTGAATAATTCTAAGATAATTGTGTAACATTCTCTGAAAAACAACATGGTGGATATGCCTTATTCCCCAATCTGCCTTGAGTGGCATACATAATCTCAAAATCCTGGATACACTATCGAGGTGGAAGTATAGTTTCCTTTAAATAAAAAGAATATGTAATTGAACATATATTTAAACTACAAAATATTTTATACATCTTGTTATCTTACCAAAGAAAAACTAATGCAATTTTTATAAATAGTAAGTTGAAAATTAATTAAAGCATTAAGAAAGTAAATAGATTTATATGAATTGGTCATAATTTTTAAAAAATGTTTTTAAAATAATTTTAAGCATTGAATGGAAGGCTGAGGCAGTAAAAGTGGCATCCCTACTGCTCTGGGAAACCTGGGATTGAATCTGAGCAGTTGAAAAACACCAGAAATTTTTCATGGATGATCCAGCTTGATATATTGCCATGCTTTACCACCTGGCTATCTTCATTGTGGGCCTGGCAGAACCCATGATGGGTATGATAAAAAGCTTTTTCAGTCCCACAGAATGGCGAGTCAAATATGAAAGAAACAAATCAATAATAATAATAATAATTCAAAGCAATATAAAATAAGTGGATGATATACACAAAAACATTTTAATATGTTAATACTTAACCAGTAAAAAATAAGTTGAATATATTTTTATATGATGGAAGTTAGCAATTCTCATTTGAAGATTTTTATAATTAGAGGAACCATGGCAATGTGTTAAAGCTAAAAATGTGTTAATGAATAATACTTTTGAAATAATAATGTAATAAGTTAGTTATAGGCTATATTGTAAGTGTACATCAGGGGTAACCAAATTATGTCACAATATGAGCCATATACTATGTATAAGAAATATGTGAGAGCCACATCCTATATTGGAATAGTATTTTATATATACCTGTATATAAATAAATAATAGAGAGAGGAATAGCATCAAAGTCAGACCCCTACCCCTAAGTAATAAGAGATGGGAGTCCAAAATACAGGAGCTGCAATAACGGTCTAGAAGAGCTGCAGTTTGGCCACAGTGAGTATATATAGAATATTTTCTTTCAAATTTAGGTAAAAAAATATTCTATATATATATTAGATTAGTTTTAGACAGATATTGTGTTTAATTTAGTCATAATCATGTAGAACTGTAATAAATAATGAAATACTTTGAAGCAAAGAACAGATTTAAATTGTTATTAACTATTATTAAAGAGTATTCTTAATAATAAATACAGTATACTTCATACAGATTCACTCTTAAACTTATTAATACAATTTCTGTTTGTATCCTTGCCTAGTTGGAACATGTTTATTAATAGGACTTATTATACTGGGAGAGCAATGACATAAGGAATCAATAAAAATGTTTTTTTTCATGTTGAGAAATTATTTAATTATCATTAATACAAATTTATTGAAGTTATAAAATATATCATAATGTTTTTCTATAATAATCATTTTTTGTACAAATAAAGAATCCATTCCAATTTCTTCTAGTGTAAACAAAACATTATATTAAAATTCTGCTTTATTGGTGTTTTGTGCCACTTCAACCACTCAGCTGTCTGGCTGTCATACCAGATTATTTTAAAATATGATAAAAGTAAAAGTAATGACAAAAATTAATTAATTTACATAAATTCTTTATAAAAAGTTCTTTTTTGCAAATATATAGATATGGAAATCTACTTAGAAAACAAATATATGATAATTTGGAACAGATAGAATTAGATAAAGACCAGAAATATTTAGAACAAAAAGAGTTAAGACATCTTGTTAAAAAAATGCAATTAGAAGACTTAAAAGCATTTCAAAGTCGAAAGAAAGATCAGAAAGAATTAATGGTATCAATTTAATTACTGTTATAACTCTATATATGTATATTATTAACACAAATAATTTTAATAAATGATTTTCAGGCAGACATTTTGATGCAATTAGAGGATCTGCTGGCTCGCAGAAAATGGGAAAATGAAAGAAAACTGACTGAAGAATTAAGATACTTGGCATTTATGAATGAAAAAGCTGTACGTACTTTTAAAATTAGTGTATTAATTTATTATTTAATTATAACACATAAATTTATTTAAGAATATATAAACAAACTAACTGTTTGGTTCAGTTTAAAATTTAATAAATGAAGTGTTTTTCATTAACTACTCTACATAATTCCATTCTGTTGAATATGTTTGTATAGTTATATAATTCACTAAAATATTTTTAGTTTAAAATTTTTCTACCCTGCCAGCATCAAGAGGGCCTCTTTAGCCAGGCCCACCCACATTGGAGCAGCTGGGAGGTGAGATATGGGCCAAACATACCTGGAAAGTCCATCCACTGAAAGCATTCTGTGTTTTTTCAACCCATCCACATTTGATTTCATGTCCCCTGAGCAGTAACTTGCCACCTTAACCTCTCAGTCAACTGACTATCAAACATTTTTAGTTAATATTTTATTTTAATACATAAAAATTCTGAACAAAAATAATTATTTCCTTTACTTATTTATATAGCAACATGATGATAAGGCTCATAATTTTCTAAGATATGAAGTTATCCCAAAATAGTTATGTAACATTTACAAAAGCAATCCTATAGCCTTGAAAATGTTCTTTTAGTAGTAGTAAATAATAATAATATAACTTTATAACAAGAAATTTTGTTTAAAATGAGAAATAAATTCATATAAATTAATTGTTTCTAATTTTTAATAAAATACAAAAATATATAAAAGGTAAATAATGACTTTTTATTTATAAGCATCATCATATTTTTGGTGAAGAATTTATATTTATATTAGTAAACCATAAATAATATATAAATATTTTATTTATTTGTGTAACTTTTATTATGATATTAAATATGTGTTCATTTTAAATCATGTCATTGTAAATTATATTTAAAATTTATAAATTAATATATAAACTCATAATTATTACAGAATTATGCATTCAAATTTATAAAAAAAAAAAATACAACAAATTCTTTTAATAAATGATATATTTATATGCCACAAACCTTAACCAATAAGTTATTTGTACATATTAGACTGGATCTGTGTGAATATAAAGTCAATTTAATGGTTCTCATCTCCACAGTAAGATTTATGCCTTTTATCTGAAGATGCATACAGTTTTCTTTAATGTTGAGCTCTATAAAATCTTGTATCAACATATTTTTTTTGTTTTGTATTCTCAGTATGTGAATACTAAGGACAAACTTTAGATCCATGGTGGCCAAACTGTGGCTTGTGATCAGCAAGTGGCTCTTCTAGACTCTTACTATGGCTTCTGTACAGCCTATTTATACAATTTGCTTTTTGTTATTCAATTCCTTTTACAAACTTAAACTCTCTCTATATATATAATACTGTTCTAATAGAGAAATGTCATGTATTTTTGATGAGTGATATATGGCTTCTATCAATAAGCAATTTATACAACTACTATTTATATACTGTTTTTTAAAATTTTCTAGATGGCATTTCTATAAAACTCTACAATAAAAGATAGAGGATTGAAATTAATGATAACAGCTGGAGAATACTTGAGAAAGTGACAGTGAGTTTCAATAATGCAGTCTCCAGAATCTAAAGAAATATAGTTTAAATCAGTTAGCATTAAAACCAAAAGAAGGAATTGCATTAATAATTTCTGAACTTGAAATATTCCTATTGATTACTACAATGTCCATTGAGAGAGGGGGGAGCCAAGGATTTTCCCTGGCCCAGGGAAAATTCTATTCAACGACAGGGATGTTGCCTCCATACTAGAGAAGTTCTGGGGTATACTCTATCCTGTTAGAAAACACGTCTGGCATTCGCACACACTATGTAGGAGCAACAACTACAATGTTATCTTGCCACGTCTCCAAACACCAACATTCCATGAGGGCTGACAGGTGTGGCACTGAGCTAGCTAGGATTGTATTACAACATCAACATACCCTGCTGTGGGAGCATGTGACAATGCTCAGGTATTGTGATCAGAAGAGCCTGATATATGTTTGGGAGGCCCTCCTTACCGTATTATAAAATTTGTGCAATTCCCGGTGCTTGAGTTGTCTGCAATATGGATCAGCCTGTATAAAAGATTAAAACATCATCTCTAGCTCGGCTTTCAGTGCTTATTTAAATTCCTTATGTTTTTATTCTAAATTTGATTTGTTCTAAAGGACTAATGCTGTTAGTCTTTGTTTGTTCAAAAGATTTGTTTTGAGTTTGTGTTCTGCCTGAGGATGACATCTTACAATATGTCGAAAACGCTTGCAAATATAGTGATTATATTAATATATGTAATTAATGCCTTTGTGATGATTTCTTCCTTTCTCACTTAAACAAAAGATTGGTGTGACATCCAACCCTCGAATTCAATTAACGGTCATACTCCTATAAATTAATGCTATTTTTACTAACAAAAAATAAAATCTTTAAGATTGCCATTTTATTAATAAAGAAACATTTGAAATATCTAATTTGTTCAAAAGTAAATAGCAAAAGGGGTTCTCTGTGCCTTGGACCCCATACAAGATGCTTCTCCATGGCCTTGACGACAACTTCAAATTTTCAATTTGTTTTTGTGTTGCAATGAAAACAAATAAAATAAAACAAGGTATGCATCACACATATAGAAAATATACCCTCTGTGTTTAGGTTAGGTAATATTTTTTATATAGTGTAGTGTGATCATTAAATTCCTCTGTAGTTGGCGGGAAATGGAAGGAGCTTCCAGAAATGAAGTAATTACATTACAGGAGACTGTATGTCAAAAGAGTTAAAATAAGTTAAGATGTCATCACTCAGCTGAGCATCATGGGCATGGTCTATTGTGGAGAGACTTTACAATTGTACTGTACTTTAAAACAGAGATTTTGAAGATTATGAATTGATGATTGGAGTCCATGAGTATACAGCTGTCCCTTGATAATCTGACAGGTATAGGACCAAAGGGGTGTTGGATTACCGAAAGTGATTACATATTTGGCATTGTTTTGCTATTAGTAGTCTACAATATTCCCTGCTCCAATTGTTCGAACAGAACTACTCATGGAAAACACACGAAATGTGTGTCATTGTGTAAGAATTGGGTGGGGAGATTCACGTCGTGACGAGTTTCTGTGCAAGCAGACATGTAACGGGATGGGTACCTTGACAGGAGGTGCATCGGACTACTGAGCATGTCGGATTACAAAACGTCGGACTATCAAGGGACAGCTGTATTTTAAAAACTTTTTTTTAATATCAACAGAAAAATTTGTACAGAATAGAAAATGTGAACAAAGAAATGTGTACATAAAAATTAAAAATAATACATCTTTTCAAGTTAAATACTGTTTTATCCATCTTGTATCAAATCAAATATTAACTAAAATTCTAAAAATGAAAAAATTGCAGCAAAATCTAACAAAATCTCTTTTATTGTGAATGAGTCCATAAATGCATAAATTTTATGAAGTGCTGGTTTAAATCACTAGTGTAAATTGATAATGTGAGAAGCTAGGGAAGTGTGAGACTTAATCCTTTCTCTGACATCAGCCTGGTAAAGCCTGGCTCACTACACCGACATCAGCCTGGCTCACTATGTCACTGGATGGCTATTAAATAGGAGGGCTATTTGTCGAGCGGGGATGCAGATAAGTCGATAGGGTACTGGCTATCCACAGGAAGTCCACACATGACTCATTTAACAACTAAAACAGTTTAATGAACTAAAACAAAACATAATACAATAAGCTGTATTATTCATTTAAGGTATTTCCTACCTTGCATAATCAATATACCAAAAATATATACTAAAGCCTGATATCTAAGTCATCCGAGAGTTTACAATAATCTAAATATGCTACCTCTGAGAAAGTGACTGAGGTCTTCGATTATAGTTGAGGCATACCTGTTAGGTCCAGTCTTCTCTGGAGAATTGTGAGTACAGCTGCATTCAGGGATGTCTACCTGAGTATGGTGAAACAGGAGCTGGCTGGTAGAGCTTCTTCTATGCTCCTCCTAGTATGTCTGCCCCAAACCTCTGAAGTCTGCCCTTTTTATCCTCCTGAGTGTGAGACTTTACTCTGGTGACTCACATTGTTGTGGTTCCAAGTTCACGATATGTCTCTGGTATGGCCAAGACGAGCTGTAAGACTTTGATGACTTGGGCAGATTGTTGATATTCTCTGCCAGGTGTTTTGACTCTTCTTACCTCATAATTTAGGCGATTTTGACATTCTCCCTTATCAATAATTAGATGTTTTGGACTTATCATAGAAACTTATTCAAAACATCATAACGATTGTTGATTTATTACGATCATTTGATCACTTGTTATCTGTTGGATTAGAGAGTAATGGAAATGCCAGGTGGAGAAAAAACTGGGGTTTTTCCACTTTTTAATTTCCCGTTTTAATTTTAATTAACCCCTCCTTGATCTCACAATAATAGCATTTAATGTGTGCTAAACATCTATTCACATCATTTTATTAGTAACAAGATTCCACTACTAACTTGTAACCAAAGCATATTATTCAATAAAAACCGTACTTATTTTTTCTTGCTCTATCCCTGGCCTGTGGGCACTAGAGGGCCCTTTTTTTCCCCGTACCCATTATGGGTTCAGCTAGACTCACAATGGGGATGACTAGCTGACAAGAGAGAGGACCCAATGCATTTGTTTTCTGGTTGGTAAGTCCCAGGTAAAATTCCTGGTGTTGATGACTCTGATTCAACCCCAAATCTCCAGGATGGTAGACCAATACTTCAACTTCCTCAGCCATTTGGTCATCTTTATGGTTTACTAATAAGTAACACTTTTTTATATTTATAACTAATTATATTGCTTTTACACAAATAGTATAAAATTACAAGCTTTTTTAAAGTATTATGTTTCGAAAATAAAATAAACAATTTTTTGATAAATAATTATCTATATGTATTATATTTAATTTCAACAGTGTGTACAGTAAACATTTTTATAAACATTCTTATTGTCAAAATTAGCACAACATTTAAAATATCAATATTTTTTATTATAATATAATAAAAAATATTTATACTAAAATATAAATATATATTTTTCTTTTGAAAGGAACGTGAGGAAGCAGAAGAACGGAGACTAAGAGAAGAAAAGAGACAGAGAGAGAGAGAAATTGATGAGCTTCGGAAGAAACAAGAACAGGTGGTAGACATTTTAGCAGAAGAGGTTAGTATTAGTNCTTCACGGTAAGCCTTAATCCTGTCCATCTCCCCCAGTGGGGGAATTTCGACATGTATATTATATAAAAACACGAGCGTGTGTGAAAATTTCAAAGGAATCGGTAGGAACAAACGAATATTACATTTTTATTTACAGTGGTACCTCAGGATACGAAATTAAATTCCGAAACTGAGATCGTATCTTGAAAATGTAAGGTGAATCATCTTTCCCCATACGATTACATGTAAAACCAAATAATTCGTTCGAACACAAAAAACACACTCAAATTAAAGCTAAGTAGTACTAATATCATAAAGTACTCAGCAAATCACTATACATATAACTAACACCTTATTCTTGCCGAGAAATATAATTTATTTGAAACAAACATTTTCTACCTGATTCACAGGCCATCCTCAGGTTTAGAACAAATTTGAATTAAAGGATTCCATCAATGGAATACAAAAATTCATAATTAAAAATTAAATAAGCAACGTAATAAGATAAAATAAAAATAAAATTAAAATATTAAATAACCAACAGAGTAACATAAAACAAAAAATATAAAAATGTAAAAAATGTACATAGAAGTATTTATAAATACAATTACTAACACATCCAATAACACAACTGGTCATCATGAAAAGACATACTTATAACAAAGCACTAATGGATTACATCGAAAAGACAGTGTGTGAAAGGCTCAACAGCGAGATTATTGGAAGTTTGGATAGAAGAGTCAGGAAGCTAGAGGTCTCTAAACTTTCCAGAGCTTTGCCTTTTCTCAAAAAATGCAGGAACCCTAGACCTGGAACACCTAGGTTATTTGCTTTCGCTAAGGTGCATAAAACCGGTAAAGAAATAAGACCGGTTGTAGAGAAATGCAAAAGTCCCACGTTTGTATTAGAAAAGAAGTTGCATGAGTATTTATCCTCCCAGCTGGACACGGATACTCTAGTTGCACGTAATCCTATGAAAGTGTCAAAGATCTGCAAAATATAGCATTAATGGAAGATGAAGTTGCAAATGTTTTCGACTATGAGAACATGTATCCATCAGTAAAGATAGAATCGTGCGAGGAGGCGCTTTTGGATTTCTTATACGGTAATAACTCGGAGTTGCTTAGTTATACCGAGGAAGTAGAGAGTATGGCTAGTTTGGCGTGCCGTGAATCTTGTTTCGCTTTTAATGGGCAGATCTACAGACAGAGAAGGGGGGTCCCTATGGGAAGCCCGCTCTCAGGGATCCTATGCGAATTGGTAGTTAGGAGACTGGAAAGAAGAATTTTTCACGGTTTTAAGGAGGATGTCATGTATTTTAGCAGATACGTTGATGACCTACTTATATTATGGAGAAATAACAGCAGAATTAAGGATTTTTTGGATAAGATCAATGATAACAATGATGGCCTTACTTTAAAATTGGAGCAGAAGAGTTCCTTAAATCTGCATTTTCTAGACATCAGTATTAAATTCAAAAAAGGCCACCTGTCCACTAGCGTTTTTATTAAACCATCCCACAGCCCATTGTATATTCCCTCCCAATCCAAGGATCCGTATAAATATAAAATTGCAGCTTTCAGAGCTTTAATAAGAAGAACATTTTTGTATTGTGAAACAGTACAAGACAGGAGGAAAGAAATAAATAGAATAATAAGCGTGGCCAAGACCCTAGGTTACCGAAAGAGCGCAATTCTGGGAATGGTTAGGAAGTATGAAGCTAACATCAAGAAAGGGTCTTTTAAAAATGCTCCCACTGGAATCGTAAAATTTACATATAATGAAAGTATGAATAGAGTTATGAAAGAGATTGCTCACAGAAAAGGTTCGAGGATGCTTATAAAAAGGGCCCCTAATTTATACAAAATCCTTAGGAATGATAAGGATGATATAATGTCGGAAGAGAAAGCAGGGGTTTATAGAATTCCTTATGAAAATATGCAATTGGGCGTTAAAAAAGACTATATTGGAGTAACCACCAGGAGTTTAGGTCTTAGAATCAAGGAGCATAGTTATAATATCAGAAAGGGGTCTTATGCAACAATTTTATCCCAAATGGCGCAAGCACCAGGATCTGTAGTCAAATGGAATGAGGCAGCCATCATAAAACCTTTATCTTCTCCATCTTTGGCGTTGACAGCGGAAAAGTTGCAGATTTATATGAGTAAAATACAAGAAGGCTGTTTAAATGCGAGGGATGCAGAAAGTCTTCCCTCTGCATGGAAGTTTATAGTTAAGAAGTTTAATAAGAGCTCTAACCAGTCATAATAGTAGTTTTATTGGATTTGTTAGTAATTGTATTTATTAATACTTCTATGTACATTTTTTTGCATTTTTATATTTTTTGTTTTATGTTACTCTGTTGGTTATTTTACATTTTAATTTTATTTTAATTTTATCTTATTCCGTTGCTTATTTAATTTTNCTTTTTTTTCAGTTTACAGCAGTATTTATTACACAAAATTTAAGTAAAGCTTAACATGCCGATCTTGCTCCGGTCTCCCCTAATTCGCATGTAAATAATATTTAAAACTTGAAGAAAGTATAAATAATGGTAGCACAAAAGAAAATGTAACATCAATTATGGTGAGAATTAGTAATTGTAATTGTAGGTAAATGGCGTTTTAATCAATCGATCGCCCGATTTCATTAATTTGTATTGCTTGTTGAGCGTAGAAGCTAAGTTTGATGCCTCGTAGATTTTGAACATTTTACTTTAATATTATGATAATCGGAGTCATATTAAGCACTTCTGCTTAATATGACTCCGATTACTCCGGTTATATAATTACTCCTTCCTGCTTAATATGACTCCGATTATGTGATGACTCGTTCATATCAATTTAATCGATACTATTTATTCATTTCTCTACAATCAAATAAGGCAGTATTCACTTTTATATAAAACTTTCCTCGAAACAGAATAATACATAATGCTATACTGATAATATTGTAAATCCTGGTGCAAATAACTGGCGATTGTTTTATTATTATAATTGAGAAGGATTATATACAGTGGATATAAATATATATTATACTAGCAGACCCGCCACGTGTTGTTGTGGATCAAAATGTATCTATTATAAATGTATAACAATTCCCCCGTGGAGGGGGGGAATTTTTCGAAAAATTCCTTTTTAGTGTATATTCTGTTGACGTACCCTATTAAAACGCAATCAAAAACGCAAAAAGCCGCATCTAAAATAATATAATTGAAGCCAAGTTCTTCACGGTAAGCCTTAATCCTGTCCATCTCCCCCAGTGGGGGAATTTCGACATGTATATTATATAAAAACACGAGCGTGTGTGAAAATTTCAAAGGAATCGGTAGGAACAAACGAATATTACATTTTTATTTACAGTGGTACCTCAGGATACGAAATTAAATTCCGAAACTGAGATCGTATCTTGAAAATGTAAGGTGAATCATCTTTCCCCATACGATTACATGTAAAACCAAATAATTCGTTCGAACACAAAAAACACACTCAAATTAAAGCTAAGTAGTACTAATATCATAAAGTACTCAGCAAATCACTATACATATAACTAACACCTTATTCTTGCCGAGAAATATAATTTATTTGAAACAAACATTTTCTACCTGATTCACAGGCCATCCTCAGGTTTAGAACAAATTTGAATTAAAGGATTCCATCAATGGAATACAAAAATTCATAATTAAAAATTAAATAAGCAACGTAATAAGATAAAATAAAAATAAAATTAAAATATTAAATAACCAACAGAGTAACATAAAANTAAATTATTTAACATGTAATTAATATTTTAGGAGTTTATACAAATGATATATTCAATTTGGCTTTTATCATATTAGATTTTTGTATCAGAATTCCGTTTTGAAGTAATATAAATACTTCAATGTTTATGAATTCTATTTATACTATATTCGTAAGACTAGGCCTACATAATTGCACTTTTTTCATGTACAAATTGCTTCCTATTATTATTATAAAACAAATGGATTCAAATTTGTTCATTTCTAATACCACATTTTGTAGTAACTTAATTAAATTTGCATTAATAAAGGCTTTCATACAATACTCGACCAAACGATACCTATAGAGTGAAAAATTTCAAAAATTCAACAAAACTCAACAATTTCCAAAGTTATGAACCCATCTTCAGGAATTGTCTATACAAAAAATGCTTAAGGTTTTGAATGTTTTCACTCGAGAAATAATTACTTTCAGTCAGGTTTTACTTTTCAAGAATCCCTTTAACAAGTTGTTTCATACAATAACAATAAATATTGAAAATATTCAAAGTTTAATTTGCCGTAACTTTTGTGTAATGATTGTGACAAAACATTTTGTATCTTAGACTGCATTTCCATCATTTTGACATCTTGTTTGATTTATTTCTGCATTTTCCAAACTGGAATATGTCAAAAAAAAAACTGTAATTGCTGCTAAATGTAATTTTAAATTCACAATATTTTTCAATTTAAAAGAAGCTTATAACTAGGCAACTCAAAATTTTATAGACCCAAATGCGTAAAAGCTGCCACATTTTTAAGTTTCGTGGTCTTTATATTTTATTTCAGATCCAAATTCAGTTACTTTATTTTAATATTTCTTTTCTATTGACTAATTACTTGTTGATACTACTAAACTAAGTGTGTGAGATCCAAATAGCCCCCGGGTCTAAAATAATTTAAAAATAATATTAACTTTTGTCATAAAATATTCTTTCGTTTTGGGTGAGAAAAATAACGTTTTCTAGCGTGAGAAAACAGCTAGGAGAGTCACTTCCTTTGACGGAAGTATGAGCATCCTCTGTTTTTCCCTTATCTGCTAAAAATCTCGCTTCAATGGGAATTGTTTACCCCTCATTTTTCCCCCTTTACATCCGTTCACGTGGATGAAGCTTCGACTGATAATTGGTCGAAAATCAGAAGATATATGCGAAGTTCAGTGGAATTCGGGGAGTTTGTCAGAAAATCTCATAGAGGAGAGACGTCCCCATATTGCCTCCACACCGCCCTTAGGAGTTCGTCGGCAGATCTGAGAGTGACAAGACTCCACTGAATTCCTCTCTAAGGCCAACGCCCTTATGAGTTCATCCGTAGATCGTAGAGTGAAAGGACTCCACACATATATGCCAGCAGACCAACGCCATTGACATCCCCGAACAAGTTACTCCTAAGTTATCCATGAAGTACCTTCACCGATAAGAAGACGACACTGCCAAGTTAAAAGGTCGTATGTTTGGGACTAAATTGTGAACTCTCTCTCTCTCTCGTAAATGTATAGTTTAAGAACATATTTCTCTCTCGACTAGGTTTTGACTAAGAATAGATTTCTTCCTGTCGCGATTGAGTTGATTATTCGTTCTTTAATTGACTGTTTGGATTATTAGATTATTTCTTATTCTGTATTTGTATTGTTTATTTTGTTTATTAAATTCTATATATATTTTTGTTAAGAGATGTCTCTGGATTATTTCCTGAATCAGACGACGGCATAAATTTCATGCGTGTTTATCCACGTTACGCAAAGTAGATAAACTGGTGTCAGGACCCTGAGATAGGAAGAAGGTGAATTCGCCATCACCAAATTCCACTTAGAATACTAACTTAGAAGACTAGTTTCACGAATTAGTGCCGATTAAGTGGTGCTAATTATCCCAGCGGATTAGTACCCCCGGCTGATCTCACAAGTGGGATAGTATTTTAACTTTAAACTACTAATTTGCAATTTAATTAATATGCTGCTGAAAAATATTTAGCAATATTCTTTAACTATTTTCAGTTTATAAACATTTAGAAGTAGATAAATTTTCCATTTTCACAAAAGGGATATGTGGGTTTGAAAATGTTGTAAACAGTTGCTTAATTTGGTTCATCATTCTAATATTATAACACAAGAAGAAATCATGTTTTCTGTTATATCTTTTCAAAATTATTGTAATCCTCTTCCACCCATTATTATATATAATAAATCATTGGTTGTTACAGAAAGTAAAGCCAATTAATTTTATGATTGTCAAATGGTTTTCCCTCATACAGAATAAGGCAAAGGTCATTTAATAGTTAGATGTATTTATTAATGCATGATGAAATATATGCAAAATAGTAAATAAAAGAGTTAAAAGTAGTGGCACAATCATTTAAACAAGACACATTATCCTAACATTTTCAATGCATCTTTGACATTCTTCACTCTCCAGCCAGTTTAACCTCACCCTGTTTGATTTTAATCTCGTCAGGTTAGAAATTTTGCAACAATAACTGACATCAAAAGGTATTTACTTACTTAAAAGCTATTTATCGGTTAAAACCTAATAGCAAATTCATGTTATATTTCTTTTAAGCTCGTATTATGTATTAAAATTATTCTAAAACTCTTCCCTAGTTTACACTAGGGAAGAGTTTTAGAACAACTTTTAATAACCGACCATTGGATAACATTTCCTAAAGTTACATTATAGAAAAGGATATTTTTAAGTTATAGTTATAATCAAATACTTAAAAGTATAAGGGAATCAATAAATAACCACTGAAATAATCAGCCATGCTGTTGCTTTTGGCTGGTTGCCTAGCAGATTTATTGGTTATTTATCGACCGATCTTTATAATTACATTTTACAATAAATTAATGAATAAAGGACGAATCAAGAAAAATAATAATAATTCGCGTATATTCCATATTTATACACGAAGGATGAACGAAAAGCACGAAGAGCGCAGGAGGAACTGGAAAGAAAATGGAGAAAAAGAGAACTGGAGGATGCGAAAAAATTAACACAGGGTAAGATAGAATTACGCAAAGCACTGGACAACCAAATAGATACGAAAATGTCCCTTTTGGCATCTGAAAAACAGAAAGACAAAGAAGAATTTCATCATGTTTTATAGTAAGAACTTTCTGAATTTGTATTTTTTCACGTACAGTATCATCCTTCATCAACTTTCAATTAAAATAACTATTGTATTGATAGTAATCTGGTGTCTGCACTCGAAAACGAACGAAAAGAAGAATTAAGTAGAAAGAAAGAAGCCATAAAATATGGATCGGATCTTTTGGCTCAAATAAGAGATAATGAGAAACGTTATGCTGCTATCAGGAGAACCATATTACGCGAGGGGAAACAAATGTATGAAGACGAACAGAGAAGGAAAAAGAACGTGGAGCATATAAAAGCCGAGAAGTTTAAAGAATTACAGTAAGATTATATAGCTTTGAAGTATTTCGTATTATTTGCAATCAAATAAATTTTCATATTTTGCAGAAAATATGCGATCAGACCTCATTACCTAGCACATATTGAGCGAAGTATTAATCCACCCTCCTTACTTAAGAGGAACTAAAGACTGGAATAAAGTATATCTATATTTATTATTTATCTGAATGCAAAATATAAATTACCAAATCAATAAATTATTTTAAAAATAATGAAAAATCAAATTTATAAAATGAATAAAATTTACAAAAATAACTGTATTTAGAGCAGAACATATTAAACATTTTTACTTGATGCTTCACAATGTAGACTGTTGTGTATTTTCTCTGTGTTAAATATAACAGATCGATTAATCAGATACGAAACATTTAAGCTTCAAAACACAAGAGACAGAGACTGTCCAATCATAGATGTGGACTTCTAACTATTGACAAATGAAATCAGACTTTAGTTTATTCCAAATTGTCCAGACATTTTACGCTTTACAATTTTGGTTATCCTGCTTTTTGTTGTTTTCAATTCCAAAACTTATCACACACACACAAAAGGAAACGGCTCATTTCAAGAAAATAATCCATTATTGATTTATTTGATTCAGATCAAACTTCAAACCAATTAAAAATCAAATTAAATTCTCTGATATAGTTCATGCCCGGTGAAATTCATGCAGTGCCCTGTTTGCTTTGTACAGCACTCATCCAGTGTTTTTCAAACTTGACTATCACCCACTGCAAAAACGGCATTATGTAATGTCACCCAATATACCTGTTCGCGGGACAAATCGAAAACACCTTGTGAATTATGATCCTTTATTTACTATTGACTCGCAATACGTGTCTGTTTGTTACAGATAGTACGTGTTTAATTGAATCGCCTATATCTATTTTTAGGAAAAATATAGAATTATTACCGCCAGAAAAAGGAAAACCAAACATTGTGCATGAAATTGTAGTAAAAGGACACAGTAAACAATATTTGAAAAAGTTTTTATTTAATGAGATGTGCTTGTTTGTTAGTCAATTTCAATTGGGAACACAGAAGGATATTACATGCATATCTAATGCAGTGTTGACTCGGTTTTCATTAGTTAATTGAGTTAATCTCGAATATTGAGGGGATCCCTGGTATCCTCTCAGATGAAATTCTGCCCATGGAAAAATGAAAAAAATGTTAAAAAGTAAGTTTAGATGAAAAATTTTTTTAAAAACACACAAAATTAGATAAAAAGATAAATGATATGGATTAGAATTAATTGTTAATAAATAACAAAAATTCATAACTAATACAGTTAAATATCACTAAATGATGAAACCAAAATCTAGAAAGATGCAAACAGAAAAATAAAGTAATTTTTCAGATAAAAATTTGATGGGATGATAGTGATTATCATCATCTTACCGACATGAAATTCAGAAAGAACCCACATATACATTCAGAAGGTGATTTGGTGGTGGTCTGTTAATGGTATGAGTGAAGTGTCTTCTCAGGACCTTTGTCATTGAAAAAGGTAGAGTTAACGCTGAGCTAAAGCCCTATACCTGCAGCGTTAAAAACTTTGTGACGTAAGTTTTCGGAAAGTAGAACTACTTTAACAATGAAAATTTACATATCAACGAAGAATATTCTGAACTTATATATATATATCACACCCAATAACCCCATAATTTACAATGTATATTATAAACCCCATAACTTGGAGGACAGTGAATCGACTCATTGCTGCAATGATATTAAAATTAAATAAGATGCATAATTCTGTGAATTTTTTTAAAGATTTGAATAGAAAATTTAAAATGCGATTTTTTATTATCAACGAATAAACAAAAAATATATTTTTGACTAAACCATGGTATTCTGGATGATAACATTTCATACAAATATATATTCATTCATCAAATGAGAAACCAAACACGCACGAGAAAAAAAATAGAAAGCGAAAAACGATTGTTATGGAGATCTTGTAGAGAAAATGTTGCTGGCACCAAGCGACATTTTACTTTGGTAGGGAGCTCTGTGAGGCCCCGGAAATAGCTCCCCCCAAAAGAAAGATATGAAAAAATTTGTTAAGTTAAATCGTCAAGAAAGCAAATTATATAAGTGTCGAAACGGCGACACCGGAGTTTGACGTCGAAGCTCATAAAGAATTGAAGAAAAAACAAAATTTTAGATATAAAAGAAGAAAATTAAAAATACAGTAAAGCATCGATTATCCGACCCCCAATTAACCATCACATTGGTTAACTGACCGTTCTAGTTGGCAAATTCAAATGTCCACTAGTGATGTGGCACTACAATATTTGGCTATGTCTTGGCTACTTTAATAGTATTTTTACGTGTTTTAGCTGGCAACATGGTTCGACCATGAAAGGGAGCCAGTATTTAAAGGAGGCTTATTCTCTAATTTTTAACGATACAATAGTGACGATTATTATTTTAAAAAAATTTTGTTAGGATTAACATCGATGAAAATTCAATGCGAAGTAGGTTAATATCGAAATACTAATTACATGAGATATACTAATATACTAATAATATATTTTTTCATATTTTTCTGTTATCCGTTTTTTCAGTTATTGGACCAACCCCAGTACCCAAAGGAGTCGGATAATTGATGCTCTACTGTATTAAAATTAAGACGCAGCTTAGAAAGCAAAATGAAACTAGAAAAAATATCAAAATGAGTGTAGGTGTCATAGTCAACTATTAAACGCGATCAGAGTCTAAAACAGTGTTTCGCAATGGGGGCGATATCGCCCCCATGTGGGCATTTTTCAATGTTGAGGGGGCGATTTGTAACAATTTATATTTTAGGGGGGCAAAAAACAATTTTTTGGGCGATATAGTAAAACATTATATTAAGAATAATTAGATATTTTTTCATTATACCGTACAATAATTAAACAAATAACATTATAGTAGTCAATAGTCTATTCAATGTAGTACGAATCTGGCATTAGCCTTGGCCCTAAGCATCGGAATTTTGAAGTGAAGGGGGCGATACTACGTAACGGTTTTATTGAAGGGGGCGACGATTCGTTACAGGTTGAGAAACACTGGTCTAAAAGATGGTGTCGGATAAACCATCTCTAGTCGACCTTTCCTGTTAACTATACAAAGCTCCATTTACACCTGGACGACAGGTGGAAGACCAATTAGAAAGCAGTGATGTAAAGTCTGTCCAATTAGCAAAAAGCCAATCTCGAAAAAATTATAAAAACACAAATTCCAAGGACAACGAGGCTTTCTCTAAGACTTCCACTAGACTTCTATTGTGTTCATGTATCTCCGTTTATTTTGGACCTCCATTCATCTTTCGCGTACTTCTCTAGACTTCAAATATTTTACTCAACACTGTCCAGGGTCCTCTATGACGCTTGACCAGATTGCCGCCAGAAACCCCTATGATGCTGGACCAGAGCGCCGGCAAAAACCCCTATGACGCTGGACCAGATCGCTGCCGAAAACTCCTACAGCGCAGGACCTGATCACAACCAAAATTCCTTCAACACAGGACCAGATCGGATCTGAACACATCTTAAAGTTCAGAATCTAAGGACCTTTCCAACGAAAAAATTTATGTAAGAATTTTCGATCAAGAATAAATGGTTTGCCTCTGTAAAACATTTGTCTTTTGCTGCCTCTCAAAACCGCCACCCACATACGCAAAGACCTTAGACCAGGGGTGTCAAACCCGCAGTCCCAGGCAAGTTTCAATGCAGCCCAATAAATGTGTAAACAAAACTGACAAATGTTTTAATTTTTTTATTTATTTATTTCAACGGCATAAACTCAAAAAAGAAGTTTCACAAAGTCGTAAACCTTTATTCATATTTTATTTTTGAGTGAAAAAGAAATATTTTCAAATACTTGGAGATGTATGAATGAGGAAGGATTACTAAATAAAGCTGGAGTTGTGACTCAAAGAATTATAGATGTAAATTTAGGAAAAGGACAGAAAGATGAGAAAAGATAAAATATAAAAAGTAGTGAGAAAAATTAAATAGATCTTCTGTTATGCAAATATTGACCCTTAATTTTCCACTTCTTTATCTTTTCTCCTTTCCCTGCATTTGGGTCTATAATCCTGAGTCACAACTCCAGCTTTATTTAGTAATAGTATTTCTTCCAACGTTACAAGATTTGGCTACATTGGGCCAAATGTGGCTACTTCTTGGGTTATATTTTATTTATAAATATACTGTATTAGTTGAATGAAAATGCAGTTTAAAATGGTGTTTCGTCGCTTTTTATTAATTAGAGACCCAAATAAAGCAAATATTTGTGTTTTTCAAATAAATTTTGATTTGTCTCTTTTATAATAAATGAATTTATCTATTTCTAAGTAAAAATTGAAAGTGTCTGTAAAAGTAATTTTTTAAAATATCTTTTTTATGATAAAGATTTAATACTTATTATTATAATCTAGACATGTTAATCCTTAAATATACTTCTATATTGGGCCACAAGTATATATTATATGTACTTGTGGCCCAAAACTCCTTGACTTCTTCCAATGTGGCCCAGAGAAACAAAAAGGTTGGACACCCCTGG